CAATAAAAAAAATACAAAATTGTAAAATCACCTTAACATCGCCTCAAATCGTAGTGGAACCGGCTGTAAAAATGTCTATAAGTGCGGGTTCTACGGCATTTTAGTAGGCCGCGTCGTGGAACCCGCTCTCAAATGTTTTCATTTCTTCCGTCGTGGAACCCGCTGTAATAATGAAAACATTTGAGAGCGGGTTCCACGACAAACGGCTGGCAGATGAGAGATGGAAAGAGAGAATTCTATTTTTAAATCGTAACTCCTTGGGAAAGATGAAAGTTTGAAACGTTGTAATCGAACCAATTTAAGAGTGAAGAGATCAGAAATTTCTTCTACTATCCTAATATCCTATTATCTACTCCTACTCGTCAGCTCTGTTTTTGGTATAGTTATATTTTTGGTATAGCGCCTCCTTTAACACCAATTTTAAGTATCATAAAATCAACTCCGACGGTAGCCTAGATGGATAGTGCGTGGTCCTTATTCATGGGGTCCTGGGTTCGATTTTATTAGCGGGCGGTTGCTTCAACATTGATAAAGTTTAAGTTTTATGATTATTTTTATATTTACTTTTATTATTTTTTTTTTTAATTGCATTCTATTACAGTTGTTGTAAAAATAAGTGACGGACGGACGTGTTGGATGACAAAATACCGGAAGGACTCCCTTGAAATTTTAGTAGCATTTTATTAGCGGGACATAATGAAGAATAAAACAATTATAATAATTATAAAACAAGAAAGGAAAGCTAACTTCGGGCGGAGCCGAAGTTGATATACCCTTGCAGTTAAAACCGGAATATAGAATAGAATCTGTACCAAGTTCCAGCTTTCTATCTTCATAAACACGAAAGTTGGGTCATTTCCGATCGTTCAGTTATATGGAAGCTATAGGATATAGTCGGCCGATCCTTATGAAATTTGGCATATCGTAATGTTTTCCCAAAAATAGCACTCATGTCAAATTTGAAACTCTAACTCTAAAAACACCAAAGTTATACCATTTCCGATCAATCAGTTATATGGCAGCTATAGGATATAGTCGGCCGATCCCGGTCGTTCCGACTTATATACTGCGTGCAAAGGAAAGAAGGGTGTGTGCAAAGTTTCAAGTCGATAGCTTTAAAACTGAGAGACTAGTTCGCGTAGAAACAGACAGATAGACAGACGGACATGCTCATATCAACTCAGGAGGTGATCCTGATCAAGAATATATATACTTTATAGGGTCGGACAAAATTATAATACCCTCTGCAAGGGTATAAAGATTTGGATTTGGAACACAGAAAAATTACACATAGAGTAACTACTCTATGCATTACGCTACCATCCTGTCTCGATCTGCGGCGATCAAAAATACTATTTGTTCTACCAACTACCACATCGGCGCATCTAAAACAGAAACGAGAAATTGAAATTGAAATTTGAAAGCCAAAACATTTTTACTCCGTCGTGCGAGCAGTCACACATACACACATAGGTTCACATTTTTGTTGACGGATACATGTAAAGAGTTCTAAAAATAGAATCGTATGCATTTGCGTTCACCCCTCACCAACAAGCTCGACGCAAAAAGTTGACCGTTTTGGGCCCTGATGTCCCATCTATGTACTTTATATGGTAATCTTTGGTACAACAAAGAACTGCGTAAGGCAAAGAGGAATGCCTGGAGACCAAGTTCTTTACGAACATTCAATAGACTTCGAAGGCCTCCCGACTCAGGGAGTCCCACCCAAAGCACCCTTTGCACTGCACACCTAAAGACTTCAGATCTATAAGCATGTCGTCCTTTCTCCTCAAGAAAATGGAAAGACTAATCAGCCTCTACATGAATCTTACCATTAACCCAAATAACATCTCGAGGTAATATCCAAATAATATCTATTATATCAAAATAATATTAATATAACATCACAGCATGCGTATAGGAAGAGCCCATCCACGGAGACAGCACTCCACAAGATCACTCGTCGAAAAGGCACTTAGTGACAAGGAATACGCACTTATTGCTTTTCTAGACATAAACGGTACGTTCAACAACATCCTGCCATGTTCGATAATCAAGGCGCTGACGAAACTAGGGGTAGACGATCAATCCGTACGCCTTATAAAGCAGATCTTGGTAAACTGGACTGTTGAGGCGGCATTAGGAAAAGAATCTATTCAAAGATACGTCAGAAGAGGCACTCCGCAAGGAGGTGTACTCTTCCCTCTACTGTGGAACGTGTAGATCCCTAGAAATAAAGTTATACGTTGCAAAGTTATCGCTTATGCGGATGATTTCACAATTGCTTTCTCTGGAAAATTTCCCTAGACTGTATGCGACCGGATGACGGAAAAACTTGGCAGTTAGGAACATTGGCAGTTAGGAATGGACTAGGTGTAAACCCCTTCAAAACCGAGCTAGTCCTTTTTACTAGGAAGTATAAAAAACCAAATTTAAGGATTGAAAAACTATTAAGAGAAACACTTTCCTTTCCCTCAGCGGTAGCGCCAAGTACCTAGGGATTACGCTAGACAGGAAACTGGACTGGAAGTCAAACACTATGGTTAGAGCTAACAACACAACAATCGCGCTCTATACATACCGAAAAGCTATTGGCCTCAAATAGATAGTCAGATAGTCAAAGATAGTCAGATGGCTTTACACAGCGGTCATAAGGACCATCCTTTTCTACGGGGTGGTGGTCTGGTGGCCTGCTGTCACAAGCTCCACATGTAGAGAGAGATTTAGGAAAACGCAAAGGATGGCGGAGGTCTGCATTATAGGCAGCCTACAGACTACTGTATACATGTTGATCATCCCACCGTAAAATATAAAGTATCCAATTCCAGCGAGGGAGGAATGGTCCACACAAATCCAGGGATCAGCAGGTTCCCTTCATATTTACACAGAAGATTCTAAGTTGAATGGGCAGGTGGAAGGCGGTTTCCACTGCGAGCGGCTGTGTCTAAATGAGTCCTTCCGACTTCCCGCCCACTCTAGTGTGTTCCAAGCAAAAGTAATAGCTATCGGGGAAGCACTCAGATCTCCAGTACTTACTGGCAATTAAGAAACCATTTGCATCTTCTCAGATAGTCAAGCGGCACTCAGAGCCCTAGAAGGATTCTCATCCAACTCTAGGACAGTGAATGACTGTCGCAAATGATGAATGACTGTGACCCCTTAATGAGATGGCAGCATACATCCACCTCATATGGGAGCCCGGACATAGGGGCCACAAGGGAAATTGCACCGCTGATGAACTAGCAAGGGCAGGTACTACCAATCCTCTCCTCCCGGGGAAAGAACTTGTAAGAATTACCTTAGCTACGTGTAGGCTAAGGTACTAAGGTAAGGAAATTCGGGGATCACTTCGACCTAGTAGCACTGAGGAAATGGAGGAATCTCCAAATCTGCTGGATCTCACGCATGATATGGCCTATCCGCTCAAGAAAAATATCAATGATTCTTATCACCCTCAATAGCCAGAACTGCAGCATAGCGGTCAAGACCATCACGGGACACTGGTAAATAAGACAACACACACACGGTAAATAGACTAGACTAGCGATGCCACACTATGATTACTGTAGGAGCTGCGGGGACTCGACTCACACTCCTGGGTGCAGTAGCACTCACGGACCTAACAGACCTCGCAGAGATCGCTCCACTCGTAGCCTTCATCCGTAAAGCTGGATGGGAACATTAGTGCTCTTGGGCTCTTGGACACATTAGTAGATAGGAGGGGGAAGGTCCCCTTGTAGGATTTTTTTCTGTGCGGTATCACAAGGAGCCCCAGAGGCTCAAATGGATGGGGGTGTCAGTGACTGGCATCTGGCCCCGCATCGCCACCTCAACCCAACCTAACCTAACAGGGACAGTTTTAAATAAAATTTACCCACTGTCAAAAAAAAAAAAAAATGATTGTTGCCCCCTCCCCTCTCCTTCACCACACCATCCCCTCCCATCCTATCAATTTTCTTTATAGTCCTCTATTCCTTAGTAGTTCGACATTTGCACCACCTACCCTCTTAGGGTCTTATTTTTTAACTGCACTGGTCTCTACAATATCGGCTCACTTTCCTCTCCTTCAAATTTAACACATACATTTTAAAAGTTCTAAGCAATTTTTTCTCGTTATCTTTATAATTTTTCTATTTAGTTAATAGCTCGGTTATTAATAGCTGAAGCACTAATGGGTGCACGAGCAATTTCCTCAATTTTGAAAGACCTCGAAAAAAAATATAGACACGTGGCCCACTTTTCATAACAATTTTAATACCGTCTGCAAGGGTATAACATAAATGGACGGATAAATTGGAGTTTCCGGACTATACAAAACCCGGTTTCATTTCTCCAGCCCTCACTTTAACTAACCTATAAAGGTAGTGATGTTTAATCTGAAGAATTTTAGAAAAAATTCTATAGCATCTTCTGTTCTATAGCTTAGTTATTGGAATATTATGGCAACAAAATATTATTTAGAGTGAGCACTCTCAAAATTTTTTAAGCTCTCTCATTGTCTTTCATTTAGCCTCATTTGATAGCCCAAACTTAAAAACCAAAATATTTCCACTGAGAAAAATGTTCTCAGAAATTGGGTTGGAACAATTTTTCTCCACAGAAAATATATATGTATAGGGAAGCGTAGATTTCTATTTTTTTAAGAACTATTGCTAGAAAAGATTACTTTAAAATAAAATACACAATTTTAGTGCCCATTCAACTGTTGAATTAACGAAAAATGAAATAAAAAACTACATTTTTTTCGGTCAGTGAATGCTCTGCTCTCATTGTTTTTTTCTGCTACGCATACACTCACTGCTACGTGTGCGTTTTGCCCCCCACTGCTTTAAATAAAGAGACCAACACGTTCAATAAATTTGTCTTACATTTTTTCCATCCTACAAATGACGCATTTTTATAGTTTTGATGACAAATATGTTTTATATACAATAAATATACTTATTTTATGTTGTTGAAACGTAAATAAAAATGGTCAATATGTTTATAGAAGTACTTACAGTCACGGCGCAAAGAGTTGGTATCTTCAGCTAGTCGTTGTTTGAAGGATTCCAATTTTTTATTTAATTCCATTTCTTTTACTATTTGTTTTTTAATTGCTTCAATCCCAGTCACTTTTAGCTTAATTGACTCCTTGTACTTTCTGATAAAATTAAAAAAAAAATGTAAATAAGAAGAAGTGACTGTAAAAATCAAATCAAATTTTTTATTTTTATAATAATAATCGATAATAAAAGTTTTTTTAAAGCTTTTTTCATACTCATAATTATTATTTTCAGTGCATGATAAGAAGAAAGGAAAACAATTTCGGGAGCCGAAATTGATATAGTATACCCTTAAAGTTAAATGAAAATATTATATATAAGTTTATATTATATTATAAGTTTTACATTTATCATATTAATAAGACCATAAGACCATCATTATAGAAAAGAACTTGTTATGAAAAAAATACAATTTATCAACTTTGGAAAAAGTCGATAATTATAACACTGTCTGCAAGGGTATAGAAATTAACACAAAAATTCTTACCTCATAGTATCTTTTACTTGAAATAATATTTTGTCCCTTAGTTGAATTGCTATAATAACATCACCCCACGCTTGGGTAAGGCGCTTGTGTTCATTTTGCAAAACTTCTAGATCAGTATTGGCATCTGCTATACTCATATTCAAAATATTTACAACTTCTTTCATATTACTTTCTTCATCAAAAATTGATTGCAGTTCAGCCTCTCTTTTTTTAACTTCCATATCCAAACGGTAAAAGAGTATATCCGATTTTCTTTTTTCCTGAGATAACTGGTTTTGCAACTGTGAATCTCTGCTTACAATACGTTTCGCATTTTTAACTTCATCCTCTACATCAAAAGCCCATTTTTTTATATTACTACATAAATTTTGTAAGTGTTCAAGTTCTGCCATTCGTTCATGGTACATAGTCTTAAAACATTTAGTAAGTTTTATTTTTTCGTCGTATTCTTTCTTAAGCGTAGTCACAGTGGATTCTTCAATTTGGCGTTTCTGAATATGTTTCTCAATTACTGCAGATATTTCTTTAATTTGTTCTTCTTGAAACCCCATTTTCTGTTGCATATCATATAAAGTCAAACCCTGCTCTTCTCGATGTTGTTCTTTAAGTTTCACTTGATGTTTTATTTCTGCGATTTCGTTTTCCAATTCACATTTTGTCCGTAAAAGATGCTCTTTTAAAGACTGTTGAAATTTGCGTAATAGTGGGTGATTGGGTGGAAGAAGTGCCAATTGCTCAGGTTCAGGGGCTGATCCAGCTTCTACATCCGAAATGTGTGCGAAATCACAAGAGTCCATATCGTCATAATCAGACATTTTGTTGAGGCGTAGAGAATATATTTATAATCGAAAATTGAGATTGTTTTATGTTCACAAATATTTGTCAAATGTCAGATTTGTTTGAAAAAAATAATAGGTACAATTTGGTTGCTACGCGACACAAGTAGTCTTGTAGTCTTGACAAAAAGTTTTTTATGTAGATATCTCTTATGTATGTATGTAGATATTATAATAATTAATAAATTAATAGATTAATAATAGAATTAATAAAATGGAAAAAATTGAATAGTTCTGGCATTTATTTATTTATTTTAACTTATGGCTTTTATTACAAAATATATTAATAGATAAAGGCACTTCAGGAACATTGCAACCCAAGCCCAAGTGCTCCCAATTGGAACCGCTGGCTTTACAGTTGTTTTTCTATTAAAAAACTTTTAAATATAACATTTTAGGGTTAAGGCATCATAGTTTCATCTTTTTTTTTAATGCAATCGGTTCAAATTAATTTTAAAACTTTTTAAAAATTTATAAATGGAAACTCCTATAATGCAGATTAAGTTTGTATGAAATTTTTGCCACGCCCCTTCGCGCCCATACTAATTGCGAATTTTTTCATACTTAATATATATCTGAAAAACAAATTCCATCCAAATCAGCCGATTTTTAGAGGAGATATACCCATATACCCGTATACGATTTCCCATAAAAAATTTTTTTTAAATGTTCAACGCGTCGATCTATAAGACGTGGAGTTATCTGACTTGGATTTGTAAGGTATCCACGGAGATCCAGTTTGTGTCAGTTGATTTTTTGCACAAGAGCGAAACATACAAGCAAAATTTTTGGCTGAGAATCCATACCGTAAAAGTTTAAAATTCAAAGGTTAGGTGAATTGGGGATAGAACACATTAGTACCGGGTATAATACAGTCGAGAAACGCGACTTAAGCTGTCCTTTCTTGTTTAGAACTAGAAACTAAACAAACAGTGGGGAAACAGAATTAAAAGTCTATAACTCCTCTACAAATTTACCGATTTACTGAAATTTGTAGGTATAGATTAGCCAATGGAATAGTTTGGTTTAAAATGTTATCCAACAACTTTTTTGATATAAGTTTTAAATAGAATACTTATGATATACTCTTTAGAAATCTAAGTTCCAAAACGTGTCTCTTTTATTCTCTTCAAGGTCCACGCTTTCAAAATTGTAACAAGCTAGTATGGGACTCGATATATACATATCGAGTTTTCCAATTATAAATTAGCCATGATCAAGTCGAGTGGTATTGCTTTATGTAGGTAATTTTTATCAAAACATTTATCAATAATTTATCAGATTGGAAGAAATTTGCATAAAAGTAAAGAAATTTTAATTTCCTAAATTGGGGCTAGAAGGACATTGAAGTCTTCAGACAAATATTTTTCCTTTTTTCAGAAAGTTCTATTTTTAAATACACGTCGACAGACACCATAAATCAGCAAATGCTGCACACAGCATATGCTGTATGGTTAGTGGTGGTACGGAAGGCTGTTAGTAAAAAAATCATGGTACTAAATGGTACCTGTATAGGTATGTGGTCTAAAGAGATATGCAGTCAAATCTCAAGCAAATCTATCACATAGCGCAAAATCATGAATTGAACGATATTTTTGAGCGAAAAAAAATCAAAATCAAAAATTAAGATTATTCATGATTTTTATTTTTCGATCTTAGAAAATTCATTATTTTGTAATTTTTTTTTTCGATCATAGAATAATGAAAATTTTCTGATTGTTATTTTTTCGCTCAGAGAATCATCATTATTTTGTGATTTAAGGGGACCCCCCCCATTCTCGATTTTAAAAAATCGATTTTTTTTTTAAATTTAATTCGAACTTGTAACTATTCAAGAATGTTCCCTGAAAATTTCAAGTAAAAATTTCAAAAACTCTTGAAGATATAGCCGATTTATGGTGGAAGCCTCAGGCGACGGCGAGAGCCGTCTCAAAACTTTAAACGCGTTTTTCTCGAAACAGTGTTTTTACGACTGGCGCATGAGGTTACTCAATAACTTTTAATCCAATCGGTTCCAAATTTTAACACGTTATTCTATACATATATAGCTCTCGTATGAACTAGGATAAATCAAATCGGTGAAGATCTTCTTTACTTTTCAACTCGATTTGTGGCTGAAAAAAATGGAAATTTTCAAAAACAAATTTCAAAGGTCCGCCATTTTGTTAATTTTTGAGCGAAGTTAATAATCCTAGTTCATACGAGAGCCAAACATGTACTTTTTCTAATCCCGTTGGAATTTTTGGATTCAGATGTTCCAGTGAGCGGAAATCACATGCGCCGCCGAAAAGAAGGGCTTTTCTTTGATCACAAAAAACAACAACAAAAACAAAACAAAAAAAAATTCTGTGAAATGATTTTCTTCCTTTTTGTGTCTTAATATATGTAAGCACAGTTACAGCCCTAAAAAATAATTTATGTTCATTTGCCAGCCCATTGAAAATCGTCAAAATTTAAAATCGAGAATGGGGGGGGGTCCCCTTAAAAAAAAAAACAAGATAGAAAAGCTAACTTCGGGCGGAGCCGAAGTTGATATATAACCGGATATATACCGCAAATATCGGATATAGTTGGCCCCTCCTTATGAGAATATCATAATAAAACCAATACAATAAAATAAAGACAATAAAATATTTAAGAATAAGTCCCAAGCTTCTATCTTCAACAAATACCAAAGTTGCTGTTTCTAACAAAAACCATTTCCGATCGTTCAGTTATATGGAAGCTATAATATATAGTCGACCGATCGATATGAAATTTGGTAGGTCGGTTAACTGATCAAAACTAAAATCTGCACCAAGTTCCAGCTCTCTATCTTCAAAAACACAAAAGTTGGTTCACTTCCGATCGTTTAGTTATATAGCAGCTATAGTATATAGTCAGGGGGGGTCAGCCGGGTAACTGTCCCGGGCCCGCAATGGACAGGGGCCCGGCAGCGGGGTCTAATTTCGAAAATTTAGATGGCCAAAAATTGAGAAAGAAAAATATGAATGTTTAATTAGAATGAACAAATATTGAAAATGATATTGGTTGATCTCACTAACAAGTCATTTTATATTAACAAAACAAATTTACAAACGTCAGAGCATCTTCTAGAACATTACTGACCCATGTCATGCTTTAAACGCCATTGATGTACAATTTTTTTTTTTCTGGAGATACCGAGAACTCAATCAACAGGATCTGAGACAACAAGCACGATCATTTTGTGGGACCTATCATGGAGATGTCTCTATCGACTTAATCGAAGAAATCATCCATCTGAAGGCTATTCATGCAGCAAATTTAGGACCCGATATTCTTCCGCCCTTACAACTACGGGATGAACTTCATAAAGTAAAGATGGAAGTTCTGTTTCCTAACATCTGCATCTCACTAAGAATATACTGTACGATTCCCGTTAGTGTAGCTGAAGGTTAACGTTCATGCAGTCTCTTAGCTCGGATAAAAAATTTCTTGCGTTCTACCATGAGTCAAAAACGTCTAACAAACCTTGGCACACTAGCACTCGAATCAGGACTTGCCCGTAATCTCGATTTCAATGCAATCATTTCGATGTTCGCTGAACAGAAAGCTCGTAAGGTTTTTTTGGATTAATTAGTTTTTACTACTCTAGTCGTCAGTTAGTCGTTTATATTGAATCAATCTACCAAAGGAGATATTCAACCAAAGTTCAACCAAAAGGTACCAAATACGTTCTGATATGTAAATAAACGGACTATAAATATCGGAACCACCCAGGTGATTTTATTAGTAACCGTCTCAAAATGTCATTTTTATTTTTATCATCCAACTAGCCTCTAATGAACAACGCTTCAGTGTAGTTTAAATCTCCCACGGGAGGTTTTAAGAGAAAGAATGGCTTCATGTATGGCTATTAATTCGGCAGAAAAGATGGTTGTATTGGGGGTAGAATGCCATATTTTAGTACCGAACTTTTTGTTGTGATAGCATATCCTGTCAATTCATGTCTTTGAGACCCGTCAGTGAAGGCAAAGGAGGTGGTTTTATTTTGATTTTCTTAAATTCTGTTGAATTCTTTTCTGAAGATCTTGGGTGGATTGGAATTTTTGTTGTAGTAGGTATCAATGCGGTATCTACAGTCTTAGGGTTCAGAGACCAGGCGGGGGGAAAGTTTTGACTTAATTTTTTTGGAGGGTTAAGTTTAAAATCAAAGATTTTATGAGTATAAATTATTCTGTCGAGAAGTGCACGTTTCTTATTGATTTTTTGTTCTTAAAATTTTTTTTTATTATTTTACAGATAGGTGAATCTGCGCAGTTGATTATAGATGTGAATAAATTTGCTGTCAGGTGTTCTGTACGGTCATTTTCGTTGTCGTAATGTTCATTACGTAATGTTAGTGCATACCACAACCCTACAATCGATACCTGCTTGATGTCTATCGATCTCGAGACCCCGGTCCCTTTGGAAAGCGGGACACCTCTAAGCTTCTTCCAATTATTACGACTGAAACACATTTTTGTTATACTGCCAACATTGTTTGATCTCTAAAATCAATTCAAATTAAATTCAGTGACATACTTGAAACAAACCCTGTCTTTTTATAAAACGGCAACAGCAAAGTCCCCATAGCAGACTTCTGCTAATCATTGACTCCCGTATTCTATCGGCGCAGTCACAACATTTTTGGTGGCCCATGAGGGGAACCTGTTGTTAAATGTGCCAATGAATGGAATTTGAATTGATTTGGAACAAACAATTGGGCTCAAATTAATCTGAAACAAACGGCTATTAACCTATGCCACGTGGAACCACGCTTTCTACGAATAACGGACCGAAGAACAAGGGATCGCTGCGCGACGAATAACAGACAAAGGAAGGAGAGATTGCTGCGAGACGAATAACGGACCAAAGGAACGACGAATTGAAACTGGAAACTGCTACACAGACTGACTGGAAGCCGGTGAGTGTTTGTATGTGAGGGCTGTGATTTCAAGCGTGCTGTTGTAAATTCAATAAAACTATGGGTATCGACGATGAAAAGACAGGCACACAAGCCAATTCTTCCCCATCCGACCAGTTTGCTGGTTTGCACGCGAGACA